CTCTAAACATATTCGTCCTATCAAAAAGTTGTTCATAAGAAAGTTTCATATATTCGAGGGGCCTTTTTAAAAACGTGAACAAAATTCCGACCCCCCTTGAAATGGGGGGTAACTTTAAAGTTTCAAATGGGACCCCCTATACAATGTTATATATTTGGATTCTACGGGAAAAAACAAGTAAACTTTATCTGAAACATTTCTTTGGAAAATGTTTCTATCAAAAGTTATAAACATTTAAACTTTAGCCATTTCATTTATGATAAACTCTATTGACACAAAGTTATGTTCGCGATACACTTGATCTTACAGTTTTGAACCATTTTTTATGGGGATATATCAAAGAGGAAGTCACATCTCAACCACTTACGACGAAAGAAAACTTAAAACGAAGAATACGTACAGCTTACACTAAAATGACCCCAGAAATGTTGTTTAGAGTTAGGCAAATTTTTGTAAAAAGAATTAATAAGTGTTTAGATGTTAATGGACAACAGTTCGAATATTTAACAAAATAAAACAAAACAGAAAAACTATGAGTCTTAATTATCATTAATTTCAATGCACTCTACGTTAAAGTTTAAATGTTTATAACTTTTGATAGGAGCATTTTCCAAAAAAATGTTTCAAACAAAGTTTACTTGTTTTTTCACGTAGAATCCAAATATGTAACATTGTATAGGGGGTTCCATTTGAAACTTTGAAGTTACCCCCCGCCCCTCTTCAAGAGGAGACGGAAGTGGATTTTTGTTTACGTAGTTAAAAAGGCTTCTCGAATATATGAAACTTTCCCATGAACAACTTTTTGATAGGATAAATATGTTTAGAGTTATTAGCTTGTAACATTTTACGTGGACCTTACCACCTTGTGTGTATGTGTGTCTACACGCAAGCACGCACGCACGCACACACACAGACATACCGGGTGTCCAAGAAGAAAAATATAAGTAGAACAGATAAAATTGAACAAATATTGTAGAGATCATTTTTTAAACAACCACATAAAATTTGGAGTTATTAAATAGATAGGCTAATTAGAACGTGTGATGCGGCAGGCGGGACATACGGCTCGCCACGGCCAGTGAAGAAAATGGACGATTGCTCGCGGACCTATTTCATTTGGTAGATGCTACTAAACGGCCCATCTCTCTGTGTTCTATGAGATAGATTCGCGAGCAATCGTCTATTTTTTTCGCCGGCCGCGACGAGCCGTATGTCCCGCCTGCCATGTCGCCGCGCTCTGAATAACCCATCTACTTTATTTAATAACTCGAAATTTTGCGTGGTTGTTTAAAAAAAGACAACGATTCTATTACTTACCCCGACCTATTCTAGCTATATATTAGTTCTGGTACGGTAGGAGTCAAATATCCTAAATATATATATGTATGTATGTATATACATATATATATATATATATATATATATATTTATTTATACAGGGTGTCCCATATGTCCCAGACCGACTGAATATGTCGAAAAGTATGCACTCTGAAAAAAATATTTCAGACAAAAGTTTCAATATATAAAGTGGTGTATTTACTGATCTTATCAGTTTAACCGTGAGTGGAGCCGCCAAGGTTAGATCGAAGTCAACTTTGCTTTTTTAAATAGAAACATGTATTTTTTATTACGAAATTTTATTCTACGTAAAGAAAAAACCACTTTTGTTTAAAAAAACTTTTTCATACGATCTCTATTTTCTAAGATATTTACGGAAATATTTACAAAATTAGTTTCAATAATTTTTTACTCGAATTCTCTTCAACTTTACCGAAAAATAGCAAGAGATAAAAATTATCTATTTTTTTTCTCATAGAGCTCTAGAATTTTTTCAGAATTTTCTAATTAATTTTTTAGTACTGTATTTAAAAAAATTTTTTTGAAGTATTAAAAAGTTTATATAAAATTCTGAAAAAATTCTCAGAGATCTATGAAAAGAAAATAAACAATTTTTATCTCTTGCTATTTTTCGGAAAAGTTGATAGAACTCGAGTAAAAAATTATTGAAACCAATAATTTTGTAGATATTTCCGTAAATATCTTAGAAAATAGGGATCGTATAAAAAATGTTTTTAACTTGTTCTTTACTTAGAATAAAATTCCGTAATAAAAAACATATGTTTCTATTTAAGAAAGCAAAGTTGACTTCGACCTGACCTTGACGGTGCCACCCAAGATTAAACTGATAAGATCAATGTATACAGGGTGAATATTATATACCGGAACACCTGAATATCTCGAAAACAAAGCGTTATATAAAAAAATGTTAAATACAAAAGTTGTAGGGTTTAAAAAGATCTATTTTATGATATTAGCAGTTTGACCTTGAGTTGCGTCATAAAGATCAGGTCAAGGTCACAATGATGTTTTTAAATGGATACCCCCATTTTTTATTGTATATTCTTGTAGCTTATCTCGAGAGCTTTCCAAAACACTATACTTAAGTATTTTTTCGTTAAGTACTTTTCGAGTTAAGAGGCTTCAAAGTTACGCTCTTTAGCATTAGCGCGCGGCCGATTAAGGCAAGAGGAAAATCATATCCGGCCGATTAAGGTAAGCTAAGGCAGAGAAAAACGTAAACACAAGCGCGGTAAACGAGAGCTGCCCTTGCGTTTACGTTTTTTAGGCCATCAGCCTTACGCTATTTACTATTAATACGAGCGCGCGTTCGTGCTCGTCACTACGGTATCCACGCGCGCTAATGCTAAAGAGCGTAACTTTGAAGCCTCTTAACTCGAAAAGTACTTAACGAAAAAATACTTAAGTATAGTGTTTTGGAAAGCTCTCGAGATAAGCTACAAGAATATACAATAAAAAATGGGGGTATCCATTTAAAAACATCATTGTGACCTTGACCTGATCTTTATGACGCAACTCAAGGTCAAACTGCTAATATCATAAAATAGATCTTTTTAAACCCTACAACTTTTGTATTTAACATTTTTTTATACAACGCTTTGTTTTCGAGATATTCAGGTGTTCCGGTATATAATATTCACCCTGTATATCACTTTATATATTGCAACTTTTATCTGAAATATTTTTCTCAAAAGTGCATATTTTCCGAGATATTCAGCCGATCTGGGACATATGGGACAGCTTGTATGTGTGTATATATATATATGGTGTGTGTGTGTGTGTGTGTGTGCGTGTGCGTGCGTGGGTGCGCGTGTGTGTGTGTACAAAGTGTCCCAGATTTTCCTCCGCAATTTTTGTGGAAACGTTGAACGGATTGAAATGAAAATAAAAATCTCTTATACCGTTTTGCGATATTCGCAATAAATCTCGAGATATTAATTAACCTTTAGACTGCCGGGAAAGCTACTTTTTGGATTAAAATACTACTATTTTTAGTGGTATTTTAAATACTGTACTAAATGTATTAAACATATATGTGTGTAGGTAGCCTACGCAATGCGTGTCTCTCCGGTGCCTGCTTTATGCTTGTTCGCACTTACATCGCCGAAAAATATACACTAATTGTAATGCTCCATTATGCATAACACTCTGCTTTGAAAAGTATCATTTGAAAGAAATTTTATCATAATTACGGAAAAAAGTCAACATAAAAAAAATCATAAAATGTATAAAAAAATATAAATATTGAAAAGTATAAAAAAAATTAATATAAAAAATAAAAAATTATAAAACAAGCAAAAAAAAAGTAAAAAAGAATACAAAAATTAAACGTTAAAAAACCAAACAAAAAAGTCTATATGAATCTATATGTTTATATTTATTTATATAGTCAATATTGCGCTTAGGACTAGAAATTTCATAAATCTATGTTCAGAATTGGAGTCAGCGATACCAAGAACCCCCAAATACACTATTTTTAAGAAAATAAAAATTTTTCATATTGGATCGTGCATTCCCTACCGGGAAAACCACTTTTATGGCTCTACACAAATCTCAAAATTCTGCGCCATGTGTATGTTACTTATATAGAAAAATTTTTTAGAAAAAAAAACCACTTTTTTAATGAAAAAATGCTGGCAGCCTAAAGGTTAAAGAAGATTGGATCACGCGCGATAGTAAATAAGCTGTAGTGGCGTTGTCTGTCGTATACTTATACATTAGATCAAATTGAATAAAAAAGTCCTTTACCATTTTTCGAATAACAACATAGATTTTTAGATATTAATTGAAGAAAATTTGTATGTTATTACTAACATAACATTACAGAACTACGTAGTTATTTACAAAATGACAAAGGGTTTTTTTGTTCAATTTGACCTAATGTATAAGCATACAACAGTACACATCACCACTACAGCTCATGTATCATATTGTACATGATCACCCACCAAACTTCTTTAATATCTTGGTTATTGCGAATATCGCAAAACGGTATAGAACTTTTATATTCACCTCAATCCGTTCTACATTTCTGCAATAATCGCAGAGGAGAACCTGGGATACTCTATTGTATTAATCATATTAATCATTTTAAACATTCGTTTTTTCGCATTAGTAATATAAAATTATAGAATAATCAATGATTTTAAAACTGTATGTAAATTTCTTTTCTACTTTATGTTGTAATATAATACTTTTATATATTGCTTTAAGCTTGTGTGCATCGTATACTCTTTTGTACAACGATCTATACTTTTTTCGATGCAATTAAGAGCGCTAAAATGTTCACAATAGCGAGCCTCTACTTACGAACTTGCATGATAATTTGTCATGACAACAGCTGAAAAATAATATAAAACATCCGACCTCATGTATATATTGTTATTCGACTTCTGTCATAATCGATTATCATGCAAGTCCATAAGCACACTCATATTTGTGAGTATTTCATACATTCCTAATTTCGACGGAAAAAAAAAAGTATAAACTGTTGTAAATCATGTTTCATCTTTAGGTTTAAATCCATAGATTTAAATTAATAATTTGTATTAAAAGAAAAAACATTTTGTAAAAAACTATAAGAATAAATATATCTAACTTAATTTCTCCCCTCCCTTCCTCTTTCTTTTTGAGCATCTTACTTTTGATGTCGCTTAAGTAAATCCAGACGATGAAATGGTGCAGCGCAGGTGTTACAATAAAACTCGCCAAATCTTTCCTCGCTCGTGTAAGCGGTATCATTGTCGTATTCTTCCGTATCAGATTGCGGTATAGTGCCACCATGTTTGACGCGAAAGTGTTCTTGCAGGCTGTTAATATCCCAAAACATTTCGCCACAAGAGGTGCATTCAAATGGACTATCACCGCCGTGAACACGCGCATGTGAAGCCAACGCCTTCTCTCTTGCAAAACCAACGCCACAAAACTGGCAAACATAGGGTTTAGTAGGATCAGTGACTGGCCATCTCGGCGGCTGCTGCTCGCTGGTGACAGACATCTCCTCATGCCACCTTGAACTGGATGCGTAATTGCTACTGTGTACAAAATCAAATATGTAAAGTACCTCAAACAGTAGTATAATTCATGCAACACATACTTGCCCATCTCCATCTTGACTCTACTAGCATCCTCAATGTTGTGTCGTTTTGGCAAACCTACGTTATTGCCTTTTCGCTTGCGTGGCACACTTGATTGTACTTTTTTACGTCTGCCTTTGACAGTTGTTGTCATATCCTCCTCCTCTGGTACCAAGGAGTCCTCGTCATTTATCTCGTCCTCCAAACTGTCCCGCGACGATGGGGCATACGCATGGATCTTCAGGTGATTATTTAAATCACATTTGCGTACATATCGTGCTCCACATAAATTACAGCTATGTGGACGGTCCGTTTGATGCGCCACCATGTGGTTCATTAGATTTGCTTTCTTCCGGAATCTACGGCTACAGAAGTCGCACGGATATGGTCGGATGTTGATATTCGAGTCCTGATTGATTGGCAGTGGTATCTCCATGTCATCATATTCCAGCAAATTGTCATGTGTTACCTTTGCTTCTGGAATCTCGACTCTTTAAGAATAATTTGTTAATAATAATAACACTGACTTTTAATTGGTTATATATTCATTTTATCAATATGTTATTTCTCCTAAAAGATATTCTAAACAGTATATAAAAATCTCTTTTGCATAATTAAATATAATTTATTTTTAAAAAATTAATACTTATTAGCAGGAAAAGATAATTTATTCAATAATTATATGGTTAAGTTATCAACATACAATTTAGTCATGTCTTATAAAATATATAATATAGTGAATAATTACAACTAAAATTACCCGTCATCTGGGCCTTGTCTATTCCAATTATCAGCTATTACTTCTTCTGTGACTTGTATGTTCAAATAGTCATGACCTTGATCTTGTGGCACAATATAAATAGACTCCATATCGCTAGACTGAGGTACCATTAATATTTCAGACTCTGTTGTAGATGCTACATCAGGGACAGATTCGACAGTTTCTTCTACTGCCACTTCCTCGCAAGCACCAATGACCTCTTCTTCTGTAGCAACCAATTGTGCTTCTAGATCGCATATTACTTCCTCGTGGAGTTCTACATTTCCTACTTCTTCCACCCATTGTAGAGTTAAATCACCACCAACATCCATTTTATTCAGCTTTTAAACTTTTTATTTAATTACTGAAATCACTGCAACATAGAGCTAAATTGAGTATTTAAATCTTATCTACTTAGCTCATGATCAAACTACATGAATTAAACTTGTAATGTTGTGAACTCATTATGTAGATAAAACATGTTAGACAATTCATATCCTGTAAACTTTATAATCAACAGAGGTACATTTAATAATCAATATTTGTGTATAATTAAATATTCTTGTAAGTTCCCACAAGCGACAAGACAGCCTGACAAATGCATACAGTCGATCCTTTATGGATATAGGATTACATCATAAAAAATAATCTTTCGCTGTATCGAGAAACCGTAATGTATGATTTCCCTACTCGCGCGTCTTACGACTTAACACTCGCGTTCTTTCAGCAACAACTTAACTCCTGAATTGTGAACACATAGCGGCGAACAATATTGGCATCTTTCCATCTCTTTCTTCTCATCATATCCATTAATCATACAACAAACGATAATCGAAATAATGCGATTGTCTTAAAGACAAGCAATCAGCCGTCGTGTTCGCAGTGTTGACATCTCAGGTCTAAGGTTATAATTATATAGGTTATAGTATTGGAGGTTATAACGAGTGTGTTGCGTTGTCAATTTTGGACGTGATATTGGCGGGCTCAATAAGACACAGGATGTCAGGCGAGATGACATCGAATGAGAATATAGAACTGAACGATTCAATGATGAACGATACCAACAATATATGATGACGACTAGTATAATGACGATATTCAACATGAACGAAACAGTATCAGCTGCCCTAACAACGGGTCTTCCGTTTCTGTCCGTAAACCGCGCACAGTAAAGGTGCGGCATCACACAAGAATCTCAAAAACGAATCGAGTCGCGAAACAAAAGCAGTAGCGCGACATACATAATATCGTGTAACAAATTATCGTTACGATTTACTTACTGTTACGGTAGAAGACGTTAAAAACGTAGCTAATAACCTAACCAAAGAACACTTCGTCGCGATCGAGATCAGCGTCGACCTTCGGTTGTTTTCAATATGGTGGGGGATGCGTTTAGAAATAAAACGTAACAAAATGGCGGCATGCTTTCACATTTATACGATTATGAGCGCCACCATGGAGTATGAGTGAAGTTCGAATATATTGCTACAAACATTTTGGATAATTATTGCTCTGACAAATTAAGAATGTATCTAAGATACAATCGGTGACAAAAGTGCTTGAAAAATGAAAAATTTAAATATCTGCTTCAAACGTGTTGTAAAGTACCTAGTAATAAGTGATATAAATAGTGATATAAATAGTGGCTAACATAATCCCATACAACACAGTAATATTGAATCAATGTTGAAAGAATGTTGAATTGCAACAATGTCAATATTGCAGCAACATTGAGAAACATTGAATCAACGTTGCACAAATCTTGATGTGATGTAAAAATGTCCGCGATTGTTGATTCTTCCTTAACATTTCAACGTCTTATTTTTATTCTTATTGTTTCATAATAAAAAATTAATTCCTAATTTTCTTATGTCTTATAGCATGTTCGAATAGCTCTGGGTTAATCGCTCTGAGAGCGATTAAAGACGTCATAAGTCTCTACTAGCCAATTATAAAGCTTATAAGTACTTGTTCGACCAATAAACGTAGGCTGAATAACCCAGAGTGGGTAACCCAGAGCGGGAGCGTCCCGATTGACCACGGTACGATTGGACACAACCAACCGATGAAAAGAATTATCTAGTGAATTACTATGTCGAACCAATCATTACAATCTATGTCCAATCGTATCGTGGTCAATCGGGTCCCACCCACCCAGAGCCAGTCGAACATGCTATTATGGCTCCTGCACACACAACGCGGTAAAGGCCATCACACACAAAATTACATAGACGCATATGCATAGCATAAGATAGTATGGACCAATGAGCATCGAATATTAAGTATCAATCATCAATATCGACTTAATATTCAATGCTCATTGGCCCATATGATCTTATGCTATGCATATGCGCTATGTAATTTTGTGTG